CCCCAAAACCCCAAAACCCCAAAACCCCAAAACCCCAAAACCCCTTCAACTATTTATTTAATTGAGATTACATATAATACTTAAAAAGATGCTTGAGCAATTCTTTATCCTTTCCGATAGAGGGGATACCATAATCACCAAAGCCTTTAGAGGGGAGTTAAACAGAAAAGAATATGAGGTTTTCTTCAGAAAAGTCAAGTTCTGGAAAGGTGATGCCCCTCCCGTCTTCCACTCGGATGGAGTCAATTATTACTTTACCAAGAAATATGGAATGTTCTTTGTTCTGACATCTAAGGAGCTCTGCTCTCCTTCGTTCGTATTTGACGCATTATACAGAACAATGAAGGTCTTTAGAGATTACTTGGGTGTACTCGATGAGGAAGGGATCAGGAAGAATTTCATTCTCATCTATGAAATTGTTGACGAAATGTATGATTTTGGATACCCACAGATAATGTCTACCGAAGTAGTCAAAGAATTTGTAATCAATGAAGCAGTTGTGGTTTCTAAGCCTCCTTCTTCAGCAAAGCCTTCCATCTGGAATAAGAATACAGTCAGTTCGTCTGCAGTGACCAGACCTGTGAGTTCTACTCTTAGCACAAAGAAGAAGACCAAGCGTCAGGAAATTTTCGTGGATATTTTTGATAAAATTACTGTCCTATTCAACTCAAATGGATTTGTGATCAACTCTTCAATCGATGGAGTTATTCAAATGAAGAGTTATCTTACAGGGAATCCTGAGCTCAGGCTAGCACTCAATGACAACCTCATTATTGGAGGAAGTGGAGAGATGGGAAAGTCAGCAATTACCGACTGTAGTTTCTATGAATGAGTTGATCCTACAAACTTTGAAAATACAAAAACTCTCACAATTACTCCTCCTGACGGAGAGTTCCTGGTAATGAACTATAGAATAACTGGGGAATTTCAGACTCCATTCCGTGTTTACACCTTCATCGATGAAGTAAATCCATTTCAGCTTCAGATGGTACTGAAAGTAAGAGCCACTTTCCCTGGAGACCATTATGCAAAGAATACTGAGATAAAATTCCCTGTGCCAAAATCCACTAGCAGTGTCAGTTTCGAGGCTTCGCCAACACAAGAGGCTTCTTACAACAAAAGCGAACAAAATGCAAAGTGGGTGGTAAAGACTTTCCAAGGTGCCAGGGAGTACTCCCTCACTGCCAAGATCTCCTTAGGCAAGGCTGCTGAGTCCTCAACAAGAAAGGAAATCGGTCCTATTTCTATGAACTTTGATATCCATATGTTCAATGTATCAGGAGTTACAGTCAAGTATTTGAAGATAGCTGGTTCCACTTCAAAGAGTGGACCACACAGGTGGGTCAGATATGTCACTCAGTCATCTTCTTATGTAGCAAGAACTTAAGATGGTTTCAATATAACCCTTGTCTAATGGGGTTTTGGGGTTTTGGGGTTTTGGGGTTTTGGGG